CAACTGAGTACACTGGCTCTTGGATCAAAGGAGGTGCTAATTTAGCCTCTGCCTGAGGTTACCCGGCAGGAGCTACGAAGAGAACTGCAGATTCCCCTACCTTTTTTGGACTTTGAAGGTGCCCTGATGAGGCCCAGCTGTGAAGCAATGCAAGCTGCTGTGGGGCCTTGGGCCTTCTCTTGGAAGTGCTGGGTCTGTCTGGCCCAGCTGCAGTTTGTTAGGTAATTTTCAGGTTCCAAAGGGCCAGAGCATTCATATGCAAAAGCCTCTGCCAAAGCCTGGGTGGGTCTCAGGGAATCAAAGGGCGGAGCAAGGAGCTATGGGGGATTCTCAGCCCTGCTCTAAGTTCACCACCTTGTCCAGGTCCCCGATGAACATGCGGAACTTGTCGAACTCGTTCGGCTTGCACACGTCCTTGACGATGGCCTCCACCTCGTCCCCAAGGGCGCTGTTGGCCTGGATGTCCTCCAGCAGGCTCTCCCGCGCCCCCCGCAGCACCTGCAGCTCCACTGTTTCTGCTTTTCCATATATATGTGATGATGGATGATGTTTCCATGGATTCTGAGTTTCTATTACTTCTAGCAAGTAGACTAAAGAGACACTCTAAGTCTCAATTCTAATCCCCTGGGAGTGCCTTAGCTGGTTTGGCTTAGTGGACAGAGCGTCGGCCTGCAGACTGAAGGGTCCCGGGTTTGATTCCTAGTCAAGGGCATGTACGTAGGCTGCAGATTTGATCTCTAGACCCGGTTGGGGCGAGTACAGGAGGCAACCAATTGATGTGTCTCTCACATCGGTGTTTCTCTCTCCCCTCTCTCTCACCCTTTCTTCTACTCTCTCTAAAAACCAACGAAAAAAAAAATCAAAAAAAATCCTCGTATGAGGATTGACAAAAAAATACTACTACTACTACTACTAAAAAGAGTTGGCAAACTTGTTCTGCAAAGGACCAGATGGTAAATATTTCAGACTTTACTGGCCACGCGGCCACTGTTTCCAGGGCGCAGCTCTGCTGCTGTCGTGTGAGAGCCACCAGCCCACATGCACAGGAAGGGACGCGGTTGTTTCATGCCACTTTACTGACACGCAGGTGGTAGAGGCCAGGCTGGGCCACGCATGTGGGCTGGCCTCGTGTAGCACGTGTCTCTGTCTATGTGCTGGCTGCCTCCGCACCTGGCCTCAGAGAACATGAGCTCCCAGAGAAGGTGCTCTATTCGCTCTGTCCACGGCCATACCCCCAAGTGCCAAGCGTGGGAGTCTTGGAGTTGATCCAACGATGCTGTTTGCTTACGCAAGCGCTGTCCAGCCCACTGCTGGAGTTGGGACCATCTGCTTGCAGACATGCGAACTTGATATTTAGAGAGGACACGGGGTTCTCGGAAGGGCACACCATTATTTCCCTGGATTTTCACCAGGATAAAAGGGACATATCAGCTGAACTTAAATGAGCCTGGCTGGTGTTGCTCGGTGGTTGAGCATGGACCCATGAACCCAAAGGTCACAATTCAATTCCTGGCCAGGGCACACTCCCGGATTTCAGGCTTGATCCCCAGTAGGGGGTGTGCAGGAGGCAGCAGATCAGTGTTTCTATCTCTCTATCCCTCTTCTTTCCTCTCTAAAATCAATAAAAACATATTAAAAAAGAAAAGAAAGAGAATGGTGCCCTCTTAGCTAGTTTGACAGTGGATCTCATTACAAAAAGGTGGCAAAGATCCTGGTGGAAAGGCCCCATCTTAGCACAGGACGTTTAACCACAGGGCTTAATACCGCTGCCCCAAACGCCACTGCCCTGCACAGAGGCCAAGCACAAATGCCCCGCATGCAGTGCAGGGCCCCTGGGGGGTGCGGACGGGTGCGCCCCCGCCTGCCTCTGCGCGCACCCCATGGGGAACCCAGGCTGTCCTACCTTCTTCACCCTTCTCTCTTCCATTCGCCCTAAAAATCAATGGAAAAATATCTTCGGGGGAGGATTTAAAAATAATAATAATAAAAATAAAAGTCCCTGCCCAGGACAGAAGAGTGCAGGCTGTTTCACCCGGCGGTGTCGGAGGTGTACGAGGACGACGTGAGTGCCACTTCTAGGAGAGGCACCCTCACCCTGGCCGGGTGCTCACGCGGAATTGGTGGCCAGGGACACGGCTGAAGGCACGCTGGGCTCCTCTCTCCTGTAAAAACGCCAGAACCTCAATTATCTGCGATCATGGGCACCAACCCACGGTCACCCGGCAACTGGGGCTGCGACAAATGATGGCACCCTCGGAAGGACAGGAGCCAGGGAGACAGGCAGCAAAAGGACAAGGTAAGGTCAGGACTGAAGATACCTTGCCAGATGGATATTCATCAAGGCTACGGGCAGGGTTTCTAAATTCCTGGCCTCTTTTCTTCTACAGCTCACATCTACTTCTGTGACTTTCTAAATAAACTTTGTCTTACAGTTTGAGCTTGGCTCTGAATTATTTCTTAACCAGAACTTCAAGTACCAAGGTTGCTGAACCAAGGTTCAGTCTGACGCCACAGGCCTAACACCTAGTGCCATTTCCCTACCAACAAAGTCACATTTGAGCAAATGCTTGGGATGATAAATCAGATCACAAAAGATGTTAGCTGTGTTTCACTAGAGACACTTTGCTCTGAGTTTTCAAATTTTCCAGGCGGGCTCTAGCCAGTGTGGCTCAGTGGATAGAGGGTCCTGGGACCAAAGGGTCCTGGGTTTAATTGCGGCCAAGGTCACGTACTTGGTTGCAGGCTCCTCCCCGGCCCGGGGCCCTGGTCAGGGCGTGTGCAGGAGGCAACCAATCAGTGTGTCTCTCTCACATCGATGTTTTTCTCTGTCTTTCCTTCTCTCTTCCATTCGCCCTAAAAATCAATGGAAAAATATCTTCGGGGGAGGATTAAAAAAAGAAAAGTTCGAAAAATGGGGCCTGGGAGACAGGTCCAGGGGGTTAGCCCAGGATGAGCTGCCATTTCCCACTGCTCCCCTGGTCACAAGTCTCACGGGGCCCCTTAAGAGTTTAGGAGAAAGAGAACAAAAGTACATGCCGGAGAAAAGGAGGAGTGTGGGCATGCTCCAAAGAGAACATGAGCTGACTTCCTTTATCTTGAGGGTTTTTCCCCAGTCAGGGCACGGACAAGAGTCCACTAATGAATGTATAAATAAGCAGAACGGATCCACGTCCCCCTCTCCCCCTTCCTCTCTCTCTCTAAAGTGAATCAATAAATCATGTGATGCCCTACCCCGGCACTGCAGCCTACTGTTGCGAAAGGATGATCGTGGAGCCTGGCTGGTGTGGCTCAGTGGTTGAGTGTCAACCCATGCATCCAAAGGTCCCTGGTTCGATTCCTGGGCAGGGCACAGCCCTAAGTTTCAGGCTCCATCCCTAGTATGGAGCGTGCAGGAGGCAAGCCGATTGATG